GACTACATTTATTTCAGAAGCATTTTGGCTGTAGAGCAGTGTAATCTATGCTAGAATTAACCTAATGGATTCAGCATTCCATGTTCCACATTTCCATTTGGAAATGAGATTATACAATAGGTTCTGGCAGTCATAGAGTGTTTGTCCGGCTGCGTTTACTGCTGTGCAAAATGTCTTATTTTAATGCAGTGTCATGGTCTTGAGTGGATATAAAGCAGATATCCGCAGATTTGCAGGGCTCTAGTCTTGACTTTCTTGTGGTAGACCTGATCAGTAACAAGTAACTTGAAACTAATGTTGCGTGCAGTGTTGCACTGTGGCCAGAAAAATGAACAAAATGCATCATTTCAGAAAATGTTTGAGCTCTGACATTTTGTTAAATTTCTGTCATTGTTGCTAATTTTTTTCTTTTAATTCTGTTTTGTAAATTTAAAACTGTCTGATTCTAGGGACAGGCTCATCAAATTATCATTGAAAGACTGAGTGCTAGGGAAGGAGAATACCTGCAGCTTTCAAGAAATCCAAATGCTGTAATGTTTATGTTGTGTTTCGGAGGTTTTGGTATGTAACTTTTTGCTCAGCACGATATGAACATGTGGCCATTACAGTCTCCTTGAACTCTGTTGACGGGTTAAGGGTTTCTGTTCCCTATTCAGAATATCAGAGAAAAAGAATATTAACCGGAGAGCTGACTATATTGTTGTAATACTTTGGGCAAGGTTATACGTTAGTCTCCCAGTGTGTGTCAGGTTTATACAAATGCCTAATAAAACTCTCTTTTGTTTATACTCTGACATAGTTCTGTCTCTTTGCCCTTGATCTTAATCCTATCTCAATGCAATATGTTCTTCGGTGCAGGTGCCTAATTCCCACTAATGTTAATGGGATCTATCCTTCCATCCCCTGCACATTGTCTACTGCCCCTTATTTTGGTACTGTGTACTGATTTCTTTCCAGAAGTGGCCTGATTCATCTGCTTCATTTCAGTGTTATACTAGATGCACAAAATGCTTTTGTTTCTTCATTACAGACACTGGACCTACAAAGATAGGAGGAAATATTATTAAGCAAGTAAAAAAAGATATCCAAATAGTCTCCATTTATTGGGCTAAAATATAAGGTAAAATAGGGATGTTTCTCAAGGTCAGAAAATGGCTCTTCAGAGAAAACTTGGGGTTGTGTGAAGTCTCCGTTCAGTCTGATGCTGTCAGAAAATAAACATTGTTATAGAGCAATTGGTTAGCTAAGTCCTTCAATGCACATGTTGATTATTGGTTCTCATGGCATTCTTTAACTGCTTGAAAGATCCAGGCAAAAATATCATGTGCACTAAATAGAACAGTATTTTGAGCTACTTCTCAGGGCACAGCAGAACAGAGTCGATAGATTATTTGCACAAATCCTGAGCTGCCAGTTCCAGTGGATCTGAATGTCAGCAGAAATACAAAGGGCATGAATTTCAAAGCTGTTTAGGTACCTAAGGTATGTTTTAGCCTGCACTAGTTTGCATCCTGTATATTAATTATGGAATCATTATTATGAATAATTATTGTCATTCTCGTGTCAGATTTCCTGACATACCTTCAACTCCATCCCATTGCAAAGGCGGTCTAAAACCAGAAGACAAGAAAGGAGAATTATTATTTTACATAGAAACTACAGTTGTGATGATTTTCATGGAGCTTTGCAGCCTGGTTCTGTGTGCTTGTCATTTTACTAGTAACATGACAATATAGACACAATGGAATATCACTGGATTTCACTAACCTGTATATGTCTAGTATGGGTCGGTTGGGATTAAACAGTGATATTTAAACTATAGTTTTAATTTTTTCCTTTTTTGTGTGTTTTTCTGTTTGTTTTTGTTTTCCCTGAAGGTCTCCAAGTTGCCAAACCTGCGATCCCTCAGTCAGCCGCTCCTTCTTGACATCATAGAATCATTAGCCAATCACATATCAGACAAGCAATGTGCAGAGCTGGGTTCAGACATATAAAACACTTCCAGACCTCTTTCATTTGTTCCTCAAAGGGCTGCACTTTACAGCTGAAACCCTCTATACCGAGCTGCTCAGAATATCAACACAATAAAGCAGAAGACCTGTGAAGAGCATGAAAATCTGAACTATTGCTCTCTTGTGGATCTGCGTGGCTTACATCTGTGTATTTGGGGCAGAAACTGGTCTCAGCCATACCAACGTAAAATTGAAATAACTGGGGGCAATGAGTTTATTCCAGATTTACCTTAGTGTAACTGAGTTCAGAATCTGGCCTATTGCTTTTCTTTTGTAAAATACAAACAGTAATGGATAAAAGGATCATTAATATTATGAAACACAACATTTAGTGAAACCTATTTAAAGGGCTTTATCATTGTAACAAGATCCAGTGGCTGGAAGTTGAAGTCAGCAATAATTAAATTGGAAATAAAATGCACAATTTTAACAGTTAATTGATAATTGGCCCAGAATACAAAGGCTTTCTATAGATTCTCCATCACTTGGAATCTTTAAATGTACATTGGGTGTCTTTCTAAAAGATAAGCTTTTATTCAACCACCTTATTGGGCTGGATACCGGAAGCGTGAAATTCTCGGGCCAGTGTTTTGCAGGAGGCCAGACTAAGATAATCGTAATGGCCCCTTCTGACTTTTAAAATCTATTAACCCTATCCAGTCAAGCCTTTCTGAAATAATGTATTAGTAAATAGCTACACTCTTCTGCCTGCGTGGCAGGAATCACTTTGTTTTAGCTTGAGGGAAATGAAGCAAAAGGAAGCACTGGAACAGGGGTGTCCAACCTGTGGCCTTTTAAGGTGACTATGTTAGGAAAGTCCCTATTTGATTCTGAATTGATCCTGTGACTTTTTTTTTTTTTTTTTTTTTTTTTTGCTTGTGTTATACACATGAGCACAGTGGGTCCTTCTAGCTTTATAATCTATGAAAAGCAACTCCCACTGCTGCTCATGCAACCCCAAAGCAGATTTATTGTGAGCATCCGCTGTCCCACTCCTACTGTAGCTGCCCTCTCTGGCCACCTGCTGCATCAAAGGGGAAGAGAGAGTAGCTCTGGCTTCTTCATTGCCTACACTGCTACTGGTCTTGGGGAGCCTAGGTGAACAGGGCAGGCACTCAGAAGACTTTGCTTAGGTGAACATCCATAAAGGACTGCTTATTTACCCCAGACAGCACCCAGGGCAGGCCAGGAAGGAAAGCTGAGACCCAACAACAGGAATTCCATGATCTAACTTGTGTCAACTGACTAGGGTCCCCAAGAGACCATACAACAGCTGCAGCACTGCATACATCAGCCACTACCCCCTGCTTACACTCAACCTGCCCCTCTGCACCCTGACATTACCCCTGTGCCAGGGGCACTGTGGGGAGGGAGTCATAGGAGCTGAATATGCTGGCTCTGTGCCTGCTGGGGATTACTAGTAGCAAAGCAGATAATGTAGCAACTAAAACTAGTCTCCCTTCCCTGGGATGTAGCAAATGGCCAGCGGGGGG